GAGCATTCTACCTTGTCGTCCATCCTCGGCTGACTTGATGACTTTTCTTAGGCATGTTTCGAGGTTCTAAGTCTTAATCTACCTTGGTCCGACGAAACTCCTTGTGTCCTTTAAAATTTTGACCTCTCGTGACTACTGTTACTTGAAGGGTCTCTTTAATCCCTCCTCATACTCTGGCTTAGTTGGAACCACCTCTAGTCTTGGTTTTTCGAACCTGGCTATCCCCACAGTGGGGTGCCCCCCTCAACTTGAGTTTTGACTACCACGGAACTTATCACTATCTGATTGGAATCCCTCACATACATTATCCTCAATCTTGCACTTTATTGGTTACATAGTGCGCTTTCTCTTACCTCCTTTCTTACATTGTTCATCTCGATGATTGACTCCGTCATTTCAAGGACTTTCCGCCGATCTAGTTTCCCAGGTCCACGATTCCTCTTCGCAGGGACGTACGGTATCCATAAGGGATTCCTCCTTTGTTGTATGTACACACACGTGCCTCCTCCTAGCCTTGACGCATTGATCCCGTGAAATCATTTCAGGATCCCTATGACCTCCTTAATTCCTCCTTTGCTTTGCTTAAGCGCTCCTAGCGTTGCTTAAATTCTAACCTCCACTACCCCTTGGGTCGTAGCCCTGCGCTCAATTCTCGCAAACTCCACGAACCATCCTTGTATCCTTTCCTCTCAACTATGCCCGCCATGTCTCTTAACTCTTTGGCTACCACCTCTCGACGTACGAGATAATTGGCATCTTCCTGAACCTTATTCTGATCAGCTCACAACCCCGGAGAATATGAGCTGCCTTGACCCTCCTCTTCTCACTCATGAAAGGGTTTTCACTAAATGATCCTCTTAGGAATCTTCTTTTTCTCCTTCTCGGGACGTATCATATTCACGCAGGCCTAACAGAGTAATTTTGCTAATCATGATTAGAGTGTACTGGAGATTCTAAAAATTCTCAAAAGAGCCCTTTGACTCGTATGGCCAAACATTTACTCCGAAACTCCTTTTTCCTTTCCTTTTTGAACAAAAAACTTTGAAAAACACACCCAGACCGTGACTCCAGTATCCTTCGGAAACTAAGGAACAGAGGAAAACCAGGCTCTGATATAAAAATGATACATCTTTTCCAAAAAAATCAAACCATAATTAAAACAAAAAAACAGTTACTCCCGAGCAACCCAAACCAAGTTTAAAAGTCAACTCATTAACCGTCAAGTGACACTGTTCAAGAGCTTCAAACGAAAATCCCTAACACTTGGGCAATCACAATCCAAATACTTAAAACAACTTAACCCAGAATCTTGAACCTTGAATCTCCAGTACATATACTCATAATTATGAACAAAATAATTAAACTAACTCTGGCTCTAACTTCTTGCTCAGTTCCCCGAGACCTCGTCCATGCTGGTACATCAGCTCGCCTTGCCCTGCCTCTTCTCGGGATCCACCTCTGCTAACCCTTCCTCAACCTGGTGATTGAGAAAGGGTCAGTCTCGTCGTTACTTTCTAAGGTCTTTACCCTAAGCAAAACCTCACTAACATATTATTAGAAATTACTTCCTCTTACATGAAAGTCGTTCTCGCTTTCATCCTTATTATTTAGTCCTTAATAGCTTATAGAAGTTCTCTACTTCTATCTTAACTTATATACTTATTACTAGGGTTCATCGCATTATGTATCACCGTCCGGTGTCCCTATCATCAAGGCAATAGTGTTGTGTTACGTATCGCCGTCCAGTCCATGCTCGGTCAACTACTACGTTATGCATCGCCGTCCAGTAGTGACCCGACCATCTATCACGTCCAGTCCAATTGCCCTAGGGTTCATTTTACCATACAAACATACAGCAGATACATAGAACAACGCGTGCCTCCACCTTAAGTAGGCTGTCGGATGCCTCACACACATGATCGCGCAAACTCATAAATTAACTAGCATAACTTTAAATAAAAGACATAAACTAAAAACCTCGATAGAGATTTTCCCCATTTTACACTCACCTTATTTTCATCGAATAGTACTTTCCACCTTGGAAGACAAAGTAGCTTAAAGATGAGATTACTCGATTTCAATAGAAGGAAAGAGAGACTTTCTACGATATTTGGAGGATATCCTAGGATAACATCTAGGAATGCCCCCATCACGGATTCACGCATGAGTAGATTTCAAAGTACTTCACCAAAGGCCTCAATCGAGACACCACGATGATGGTAAACCAGCAACCCGATGGAGATTTCACAATAAGGATGAGAGTGCAATGCCAGAAACATTTTGCCAAACAAGCAAGGAAGTCAAAGAGCTGGTCCAAGCGTCCATCAACGATCAAACAAAGGAAGGGAGGATGATATCGCCACCCTCTTTGCACAGACGAAGGAGCTAACCCAACAACTAAAAAGAGCTTCAATGGAGGGAAAAATGGACCGGTTGCATCCTTGTTTGTTTGTGAATATGTGGAGAAGAAAGTCATGACGGATTCGACTTCCATAGCCAAGCAGGGCAAGGCCATGCTGATGTCAATTACATAAATCAAGGATATCAATCAAGACCTCAACAAGGGAGCTATCTTCCTTGTCAAAGATTCAACCAACCTCGCATATCGTATGATCAATGGCCTGCTCAAGGAATAAAGAAGCCAAGGAATACCCCAACATCACCTCTACTAGTGCACCATATGTTCATGAAGCACAACTGTAGAAGAAACGAAACCCACTTGGGTTTGATAATCAACCTCAATATAATGTGCAAGGAGAAGGTGTATCCAATAAGCAACCCACCATATTCGAGAAGCTGGAGGCAACAGTGATAGGACTCTAAACGAGCTACAAGAATATCGTAAGACAACTTGCACTCCTCATTGATCCATAACCTTAAAAGCCTCAAAGAAACCTACCGAGTAACACATAAAACAATCTAAATAAGGAGGAAGTCAAAGTCATCTCGACAAGGATGGGATATTCTTGAGCATGAAAAAGGAATAAGAGAACAAAGCAGCTGAGCATCCATCCCTCTTCATAAATCTGATAAAAGCTTTTGGAGGAGTAGAAGTGGTAGTGCCAATATTGGAGAAGATGATTTCCATGGGGGATCTTAAAGGAAAGATCGATATTTTCATGGAGGAAGATTTCCGAGTCAAAGATAAGGAGGCCACAATCAATACAATTTTCCTAGTTAATTAAGTAAAGGAGAATCCCTGGCATATAACCATCAAATGTCTCTTGGATGGCCATCATGTGGAAAAAGGTTTAGTTTACCTTAGATGAAGTGTCAACATACTACCACTGCATAAATATGAAGAAATTGGACTAGCTAACATGGAGCACATCAATGTAGAGATCATGCTAGCAAAAAACACCCCTTCCTGAGCTCTTGGAGTTTTTCGAGGCTTAAGCACCCAAGTTGGCCCATTCATATTGTTCCCAACTACCTATTTGAGACAAGCAAAGAGTATTCAATCTTCATTGGAAGGCCATTCCTTGCCACTCTTGGAGTAATAATTGATGTTGTCAACCGAGAATTAACCTTACATGCAAGAAAGCTCTTGTACAAAGTGGAGAAGCCAATTTAAAGAAGTGACAAAATCAAGGAGTATACAAATGAGGACCCAGATGATGAGATCAAATTTTGATTTGGTTCTCTATTTGAGGATTCGGAAAACATAATAGTTCATCACCATAATCAAGTCCCAAAGTATGGAGGCGAGTTCAATATGGTTCCGCCAATTCTAGGTATGAAACTAGCTCAAATGGCACTAAGGATAGCTAGTACAAGGCAAAAGACGATGCTAGAAAAGATCGAGAGCTGGAGTATGAGACATCAGGGGAGTATCAAGAGTTCATCAATCGTTATCAACCTATAGGTATCAACAACGATCAAATCCTTGATACGGAATGGGGAGATGAAGATGAAGTGAAACTTGAACGTGGAAGTAACTAAAAGGGAGCCTCGAGCATTAATCAAAGGCATAAAAGAGAGAGCCCTCCATGGGAAGCATCCCATGTCTGGCGTCAAACTTTATGACGTTAAACAAAAGTGTTATCGCGGATGCAACCCATATTTATCTTACCTAGGTTAATTTTTAAATTTCAAAGTTTGTTTTTGGCTTGAAATTTTGAGTTGCTCATTGGAGAAAAACATTTGAATCCCTTAGATAGGTATTATATTTGGAGAAATTTTGAACTTATGACGATAATGGAGGATTTAAAGACGTGAAAATAGTATGAAATCAAATTTTGTACTATCGAGGTAAGTGTGCTAACGCATAAATGCTGGAAACCGAAGCAGAATGCTAGGGATGCAGCGGCAACCACCCTTGTCGTACCATCGCCGCTTTCCTAGTCACTATAAATCTCCCCTCCCATTTCTGTATCCCTACACTACAAGAAAACATAGCTATAGAGACAAATAATTAGAGACAATTATTGTATTAGTTTCTATAGCTAAGCTTAAGGAGCAAAAATATTATTTGTCTCGGAAGGTGAAATTATTTATCTCTATTTCACAAAATTCGTTTATAATTGATATAAGATAATTAAAGATAATAGCTTTAGAGACATTTATTCTATTTGCACCTATATATTATATAAATGATACATATAGGGACAAATCTAATTACTTTTAGAAACACAACAAATGTAACTTATAACATGTCATATAGAGACAAATTAAATAGTCTTTAGAGGCAAATACAATTGCCACCTATATCTATATTCTGTAGAGATAAATATAGTCGTTTGTAGAAACAAATATAATAAGTGACTTTAAAATAATATTTTTATTCATTTAACTCATTTATGTGAGTATAGGAGAATTTTTTTTATCTCGACCCCAATGGTTATCATCTTTACCAATGGTTATCATCTCTATAAGTATATTCTTATTTTATTTAATTAAATTAAATTAGAATTTATTTATTCGTTTATGTGTAATAAACTAATAATATACCCTCAACCAAAAAACAAATCCTCCAAATCCCTTGAAAACAGCACTAATAAGTAATTACCAACTTTTCCACTTCCGCAGTAACTACCCACAAATCTTCCCTCAATCTCTACATTTCTTCCCCAAATTAAATCTCCACATCTAGAGATCTAGAATTCTCTCGTCTTCTTCACTGTGATCTTCCTCTCTTCCCCAAAAGAAACGCGGCCAACAAATTAAAATCGGTCATCCCCTCAGAAGTCGACACGCGGCTACAACGACTTCATCACTTCCAAGAACTTGAACGATTGCGTTCAGGGCTCAAAGAATTGGAGCAGAGGTCGTGGGTGACGTAGATCTCCCCGTCGACATGGATCTCTCCTTTCTCTGTTTCCTTTTCTTTCAATTATTCAGATCTTACGGTTTTCTAATAGGTAAAGGGTATACCCTTCTCTCTTCCTTCTTCCTCCATAAGCCTTAAGCAATTTGAATAATTTGAATAGATTAGTTTTAATAATTTGAATAGATCTGGAATTTTCTATAATGCATGTCTGGTAAGCACTAACCATTCTCCTTTTCTTATATGGGATTTTCTATAATGCTGATATGGTAATCTTTTGTTTTGGGTTGGTGATGTTGGCCGGAGAAAGCTAGGTGGTGGCGGCCCAACGACTTCTTGTCCTAATCCAGCAGTGAAGGCCCGCCTTGGATGAGGGTCATCTCGTGACAACTGGTAGTAGTATCAGGCTCAAGAATTGAACAACAACGTGATAATGTTGATGGAGGATGAGCTTGCTAGTTGTTCATTGCTAGGAGAATTTTGTACTCAAATTGATACAGATACCAATTTTTAATTTTCACTATTTTATCTCTTTCAAATAGTTTCGTATTAGTTGTAACTTAGTATACGAATAAATAAAAAACAAATTTTGTGTTTTCTCTTTTCAATTCAATTGTTGTCATTTATTGTTACAAAAGAAACATTTAGGAAAACATTCAAAAGATGTTATTATTGAGAAGCGACCTAAAAGCTAGAATAGAAGCACATTTATTTGCCTCAAAAGGACACCTATTAGATGCAAATAATTCTACCTCTATAGAATTTTACAGAATCAAATACAATGGACTCAAAATCATACATATTACCTCTATAGAATTTTACAGAATCAAATACAATGGACTCAAAATCATACATATTTGTCTCTAAAAGTATTTAACAAGGCACGAGGATATGCTCTTAAAAGTATAAATGGTATCAAATAAATTTGCCTCAACTTTCATAATTAGTAGCAATTTTTTTTTTCTACATTTGTCTCTAAAAGGAATTAGAGAGGGAGGCGTCTGATGCAAATAATCTATCTGTCTCAATAGACGTATAGAAACAAATAAATGACTTTTAGAGATAAATAACCTTTGTCTCTAAAACCAGATTTTCTTGTAGTGCTAGTATAATTGTAGCATCTCCTGAACTAGTGTTCCTTTTGTATTATGTCTCTTGGTAGTTTTGGTTTGTTATTAGTAATTTTTCACTTCTTTAATGTTAACATTTATGTAATTAGTAACACCGTAGTTGAGAAGATAAAAAAATTATTATCCATGGATATCTATAGATACCCGAAACTTGATCGGGTATGTGATGATTTTAATTTCTTAGATGCTTATGAGTATGAATAAAATATACACTAGTTAAAATATGAATTAGTTGAATCTTTGTAATTCTTGGGTGGCTGGTTGTACAATGATGGTATGCCAATAAACCCATCGATAAAGTTTTAAGATCGTAACAAATTTCATTGCTATAGACTTAATTGAGTAAAAATCAAGCGATGTGAAAATTATCATCACTTGTTGAATGCAGATTATTATTATTAATTTATTATTCTTTGAATTAAAATTATTAGTTCATATATAAAAGAATGCATATTTTTTGGTTCCAAGTAATAATGTACACAAAATAACATACTATTTAGAGAGAATTAAATAACAAAAATTGATAGAGATCATACTATGTTGAGATTAATATCAACATATATCAGAGCTCGGCACATTAAAACGACCAAAAAAGTGAAAGGTACATAAAGAAAATATTATAAAGAAACCTTATGTTATTAGTTAAAAAATGATACATAGACATATGGTTTAGATAACACGTGGGTATTGTGAACTTGATAAAGTTGGATGAGTGAGTTTATCCCCAAAAATAGAGAAAGAAAGGAAGAGAATGAAAATTCAAAACTTGACAACTGAAAACCGGCATCAGAAGAGTGCGGTGGAACCATTAAAAATGCTTGAGATCCAGTCCTCCTCCTCTGTTGCCTCTTTCTTCGTAATGAGGGTCTCCAATTTCATTGATCCTTGCCAAACGATTTCCCCTCACCATTCTTATTCCGCATCCACCTCTCTTCAATTTCGTTCGACTGCCTCCTGCTTCTCTGCTCCTCTTCTTTTCCGTTGTTCAATTTAGGGGGAATTCTGAATCTAATCATCGACAATGTCATCAACAGAGAAGGAGAGAGAGGCTCATGTCTACATGGCCAAGCTCTCCGAACAGGCAGAGCGCTACGAAGGTATACAAACAAAATACAGCCAATTTCCAAGCCATAGAATTTTTCTAACAAAGTAGGGATTTGGATTTTTGTTGTTGTTATTGGTGAAATTGTAGAAATGGTGGATTGCATGAAGAAGGTGGCAAAGTTGGACTGCGAGCTAACGGTGGAGGAGAGGAACCTGCTGTCGGTGGGGTACAAGAATGTGATCGGAGCGCGGCGCGCGTCATGGCGGATCATGTCTTCAATTGAGCAGAAGGAAGAGTCCAAAGGGAACGAGCAAAACGTGAAGCTAATCAAGTCTTACCGCCAGAAGGTGGAAGATGAGTTGGCCCAGATTTGCCAAGATATCCTCAACATCATCGACAAGCATCTCATCCCTTCCTCTGCCTCCGGCGAAGCCACAGTTTTCTACTACAAAATGTCGGTTCCCTTTTGGTTGTTACATTTAGATTTAATATCCAAGTTTCCGAATCCATTGGGATGACTGATTGATTTTGATCAGGAAAGGTGACTATTTTCGTTATCTTGCCGAGTTCAAAACCGAATCGGAGAAAAAGGAAGCAGCTGATCAATCACTCAAGGGCTATGAGGTACCCTTTTCATCATATCATAAATTCAATCCATTACTAGTAGAATGATCATTTTCATCATCTGTACAATTACTTATATATGTGATGCTTCATAGGCTGCTTCTGCTACTGCAAGCACAGAGCTACCTTCAACGCACCCAATCAGGCTTGGCCTTGCACTCAACTTTTCTGTTTTCTACTATGAAATCATGAATTCTCCTGAAAGGGCCTGCCATTTGGCCAAGCAAGCTTTTGATGAAGCAATTGCTGAGTTGGATACGTTGAGTGAGGAGTCCTACAAAGACAGTACCCTCATTATGCAGTTGTTGAGAGACAATCTCACTCTCTGGACTTCTGACTTGCCTGAAGATGGAGGTACGTACTCCCACTTCCTTCTCTACATTCAACATCTTACATTTTCTGACCCAATACTCATCATCAAATGACCTAAAACCACGCATATCGAGATGCAATGACACTTGGGGTGTGAAGTATTAATAGTTAGAAACCATAACCACTTTTATGAATGCTCGATCAACGGAATATAGTTATAAGTTAATTTCTACTTTTATTTGTTAATGGTTTCAGGTGAGGATGGCTTCAAAGGTGATGAATCAGGCACCAAACCTACAGAACCAGGAACAGCAGGGGTTGGTTTTTTGGAAAAACTTTCTTCTTCTACTTGGGAAAATAATCAAAACTATGCTCCACTAAACTATTCACTTCTTTATTTTTGCAGAAATGAAGGAAACATGCTTGAGATTTGAGAACCAGATGGACAAGAGACCAAGCTGATGGTTGATATATATATATATGTTTGCTGAAGTATGCACTGCTCCCCCAATATACGATCTCTAATATCGAGTTAGCTTTGATTCCAAATACTACCGATTGAGTCATATGAATAGTTATAGAAAAAGAATTAATACCAGAATTTTGGCTTTCAGTTTCTTGTGTCATTTATCCATTTTCTTTATTCCTTTTTGGAATCCAGAAAGTGATTAGGTCCCTCCTCACTAATGGGATTTGGACCAAAATCAATATATGATTCCGACTCTTTTCATTTGTTTAATTGTGGTAATTAATAATCCGAATTTTTTCTCAGAGTACATTAGTTATTAAAATGATTTCTCAGAATACACAAGTTATTATAGAATATATGAATCTAAGCATGTTCGGGCTTTATCACTTTAGTCAAAAGTAAACTAGCATTGATTGCTTGTGACAAAAACTATGAAAGTCTGCTTGATGTGGAACAACACAATTCAAAGTTAATTGCTTTATGGAAGGACATTTTTCCACAATTGATCAGTTTAGAAGGGAGCGATCAAAGCTTCATCGCTTAAGGAAGCAATCAACCTTTGATCGCTTTAGAAGGAAGCAATCAATACTTAATTTCTTTGATGAAAGCGAACAATTTTTGTTTGCCCGATCACTTTTGGCATGACATGTCTTTAGGATAAGTTTAGGTAGAAACAACTTTGTGTCAGCCGGTTTAAGGCTTGGGACAACTCCCATGCTATCTTCCCCAGACTTATGTTGGATATAGGAGTTGATAACACCCAAATTGGTGTTTTTAGCTCCACTGGTGTTAGTGTTTTCATGTCGTTTTATGCATCAACGAGTATTTAAATTCACACTTTAGCCTTCATTCACTTTCTAGCATATATATGAGATTTATCAGGTCAAGGTGTGGGTTTAAGCCATATGTAGAAGATTAGTGTATCTAGTGTAGGGGAATGGGGCAAAGAGAGTTTGCGTGCAGATGGCAAATGATCATGACTGAGAACATTCTGTAAGATTTTTAATTCACTTGACATCTGATAGTTCACGGTCGAGATCTTTGTCCTGATCCTGTGAACTTTGGGAATCCAGCAAGAAGGAGAACATAATGTATTTCGGCTCAACTCGCGGTCCTTCAGCTCGAGACCGCAAAAAAGGATCACGAACGCAAGAAATGTTTACGAATGGGCTCTTCAACCCATGATATCTGAAAGCAAACAACGCATAACAGCATCCCATGAAGATCTAGTGACATTTTTCAAGCTCACGTTTGTGATATTTTCAAGTTCAGGTTTGTGAACTTCGCCGAGGGAGTCCATGCACTTGTCTAAATTCAATCTCCTATAAGTAGATGAAGACCCCAATGGTTGAAAGAAAGGTCGACAGAGAGAAAATTTTACACAATTGTATGTCAGAGAGGGAGGTGGAGGTGCAAATTAGGTTAAGGCATTGTCGGTCACAAAAGCAAAGTCTCGTAGAAGAGGTGGGAGAATGTGGGGCCTCAAGAAGAGCTCGATTCATGGTTTATCCTCCTCCGTCCAAGCTATGTAGCAAGATTTTGCATTCAACACGTCGACTCCAGATGGTAAAGTAGTTCACTCCCACTCAAAGTGCATGCAGTCGAGGGTGACATATGAGCTCTTCGAGTGTACCCTACTCCATGTCAACATGGTTCGTTGACGGTTGAGGTACTCTATAATGATGATATAGCCCCCTTCCTGGAAGCTGCCTTGACCAATTCTTCCTCGAAACCTTATCGAACATCTGGGCCACCCGTCACCCTGGATGCACCCAAAGGTTGTCTATGATGGAGTGGAGGAGGAACACATCATGCGTGAGAGCATGTGGCCCTCTCCATTAGGGTGGTGGTAGAATGAGACGCGACCAAAGTGCTACGCAAACCATATAAAGTGGTATGTGTTCCTGTTGGAGTAAGACTCGCCAGTCGTGAAGGACGGCTCGAGCATTTTTAGAGATTTCAAAGGGCATTGTTCTTGTCATTCCTTACCCTTCACTTGTAAGGGAGTCTCATACAAGCGTTCGAAATACTTCCAAGGGGAAGGTGGATACTGAAGATGCCTAATAAGGTACCATATGCAAGGTACTAAGCGTTCTTGCTCTTCCTAAGGGAGAAGAAGGCAAGAAATTCCTTGGTCAGCACCTCAATACCATCATCCCTTATGGAAAATAGCTCATATAGATCGGTGACTTCGTGCCTTTCGAAGAGCAAATCCCCAGTCGCACTATCGAAAGAGGTCCTATGATCTAGTTCATCATGAGGGGCAATTGGAATGTCATTCCAATGAATCGTCTTGAGCCATGAACTTGTGTTGGAAAAATGAAGTAATGGCTTCATTTATGTAAAGGCAGAGAAGGAAGGGGTTACATTCCGGGTACATGTTTGGCATTATTTTGCCCGACATATCTCTAACTCGTCTAATGTCTCCATTAGGACATGCTTGTCATCGTCAAAGTGGAACACTCTCTGGGTGCATCAAGGGTAAACCCTAGGAGTCTAGAATGAGACCTCCTCATCGTCTTTCTGGGCCATATGGAGTTCTTAAGGATCATTCCACTACTGAAGGCAGCAGAGGGCCATGCTATGGTGTCTAGCCTTTAGAGGAGTAGCTACGTACTATAAAAGCATGGGACTCTCTCGATCTTCTCTTCGTGAAGAAGAGGATGAGGCTCTTTTGACTCTTCTTAACTTTTTGTTAATACAATTCATGATCATGCAAACATCCCAAAACAACCAAATGTGAATTTCAACCACCCCACATTTTATATAATAGAATGCATTGATTTCATATCCAAAAACTGGTTTATCCCATAAAATGCTACCTTTGGCACAATCTTTGCAAGCTGGACACGACAAGAGACACGCCCATGCAATATGCCTTGTGAAGCTCAGAAGAAATGGCTAAATGTGGTTAAATCAAATTATAAAAGACGTGATGGACAGTCACATAGGTCATAAGATTTAAGCGAGTAAAATCATACCAAATCATACATTCGTTGTACTAATGATGGAGTAAGAATTGAATGGTTAATTTCCTATGCCAAACCAAATGACCCAAGCATGCCTAAGTGAATGGCAAGTAAGGATGTTAAATGAATCATGAACACATGACTCAAGTAAAGATGAATCATGTTGATCCATAACTAAGGTAAAGTCGATAATTGCATCACGAATCATGACAATCCACATGAAAATTCACTAGCCCATCACTCATCCATGCCAACTAACCATAAAAACATCATCAATTTGATCAAGAGAGGGTTTAGATAAATACTCACATTTCTAGGGTTAGGCATACAGGTTTCAAATCCCTAAGTAGGCAATTGCATCAATCATTCATCAAATTGAGTTATTCAAGCACCTAATCATGTCTAGATAGGACACATACTTCGAAGTCATGACTACGCAAAAATCAAAGAATGGAGAGGGGATTGAGTGGAGGCCTTAGTGATGAGATGATGGTCTTCAACTTGGGATGAAATGGAACGTAGAGGATTGTACAAGGAGAGTGCTTTGGGGTAGTGGAGGAGATGGTGGGTTGTCTTGTGTTGGTGTTTGATTGAAGAATTAATAGATATTGAGGGTGTTATAGAGAGGTTTGTGAGGATTATTTCGCAATGGAGGAGGTATTTTGAGCTAAGGAATCAAAGGGGTAAAGTGAGGATGAAGATGAGTAAAAATCTGACCCTCTTAATTGGCACCCAACAATTCCAAAATGTGCTCTAGACCTCCATTTTCAGCTCTGTTTTGGGTCAGTCAATTTTTGGTGGTTACGCTCTCTTAGCCTGGTGTGGTTTGGTTTGTTTGACATTTTAATGCACTGGAAGACCCAAATAAGCATAGAAAAGTTCAAAATGGCATTAGGAAAATGTACTTGAGGTTTGAGAGATTATTCCTTAGCACGAAAAGATACTATCACCTTCAACTAAATCAATTAAAATATAATCAAAATTTTTATTTATTAACAAATCCTTATGACAAAACAAGAAACTTACAACAAAAATATGTATATAAATTCGAGGTATTGGCCACACCAACAATCCCATTGGCACAATAAGTTGAGGTATTGGCCACACGAAGGCGATCCTTCCTCCTTTCCATGATTTCTATGCCAAACTTCTCATACATGTAATATGACAGAATATTGGCTCATGCACCCATATAGATGAGGGCGGGAGTTTATTAAGCTAGCATCGTAGGAAGAGCTTCCCAAAGATTTAGTGTTTCTTTGTCAAAATCTTGACCTACACGTTTGAAGGGATGAGCATAAGCAGATTAGAGGGGTTTTTTTTTTGTGTAGTATTCCCTTCATCGTGAAGGGTTAGGCATCCTTGCAATGGCCTTCAAAATGGGTGCGACAATTTCCATGCCTCCTAGAGCTATTAAGAACGCATGCATGGTCTTCCCCTAAAATTGGTGCTCTTGCCGCCATTTTCATGCTTATTTTTGTTGTATGGGCTGCCGTTCCTCTTCTCTTATGGTGAATAAATTCATGATAATAGAAAGCATAGAAGGGGGGGGGGGGGGTACCTACAGGGGGGAGACCTTTTTCCACAAAAAATAGGGATTTGGCCCCCTTCTTCCTCTTCTTTAAGGAAAGTTTTTCTTTTCCCTTTCAAGTTAGTGAAGAAAAATGAATTCCTTGTGCGTTAAGGAGGTCATCAAGGGGGGTTTATGTTGGTCAAAGTTCAATTTTATCTGAGTTTTAATTTTTGGTGCGATGACCTAGACGACTGAATTCAACGCCAATTTTAGATTCATCCCAAATGTTGGATTTTTCTCATAATAGTCTCCCTCTTTCATTTGGTTGGCCCAAAATAGGATCTAGAAGTTTAATTTCATGATGTGAGCATGCCATGTATGAAAGAAATCCATCTGGGGGCCCTTCTACACTGGAAGCAATATACTCACTCGTATTCGAATCTAAAGGCTATATTGTACTAGTATAGATCGGCGGCTCAGGTGCCATTTTTCTTGTTAAATCGGCATCCATGGGACTGATTCTAGTAGAGTCTGTAGTTTTTATTTCTTATTCCATGAGTGCATGAGCCTCTAGCATGGGTTTCTTTTGGGTTTAGTCATGAAGGGGTTATAAATCTAGATTATGTGTTGTCAATTTTAGTGCCTGGTTATGCCGCGGCCAAATTTTTTCTTATGTTAAGCTTTTTAGCATAGGAGCTCTTGAATTTCAATTTGGACATAAAGTATGTTCCATCATCATCATAAACAATTATTATTGGCAATGAAGAACGCCGAAAAAATATGTCTTCGAGAAGATATCACATTTAACCATATCAAGAAACTTTTCAAAATCTTGGCATGATTTTAACGTTGACATTACCCCCCCCCCCCC